TGTTAAGAGCCCTAAAAACCAAACTGTGTTTTGGGGAAAGTTATTTAACCTCAGTTTCCTTATCTATCTCAGAATGTTGTTTTGAAGATAAAATGAGGTTATTACCATGGCAAGTAAACTGCATAACATGGTGCCTGGCATATAATAATTTTTCTATTACATTATTAGTTTTCAGACTAGAAATTTTATGTAGTTTTTAAAATTATATTTGAATTTTCCCAAATATTTGTTAGCAATCTACCTACAAATCACCAAGAAGCTAATATTTTAATAGTGGAGACAACCTATAATTAATTAAACAATGTTTAATATACACTTGGGTGTAGAGCTAGGGTAATGAAGTGCTCTGAAGAAAAATAAAGCAAAGTAAGGCAATAAAGAGTAATGAGCATGCTAACTTAGGTAGGGTGGTCAAGGAAGTCTTCCCTCAGGAATGGCATTAGAACAGAGACCTGAGTGAAACGAGGGAAGGAACTATGTGACTGTCTCATTCATTAGATGAATGAGTGCTTGTTATGGTGTTTGTTAGCTGCATCCTTTTGGTTCTTAGTCACACTTCTTTATATGGGTACTGAACTATTTATATTTCTATGACTTAGGATGCCAAGCAGATTTTACAGTCCAGGAAGGAAGTGCATGGGCTTTCCATGTGCTTTAAATATCTGCCAGTGATTACACATTTCCCATTACTGACTTAGTACTTCTTGACTGGTTTGTCAGTTCTGTAAATGAACTTAGTATTAGAAGTCCTTTGAAAAAGAACAGGTGTTTGGAAGAACCTATCAGAGGAAAGTTGCTATGGTATGGAGGAAAGAATCTTGAGTCAAGAGAATTGGGTTTGAATTCCAGCTCACCATTGGCTGTATGGATTTGCATATGTCCCCTAACTTTAATGCATTTGTTCTTTATCTATAAAATGGGGATGATAATGCTTAGTTCACATAATTGTTGTAAAGGTCAAACAAAGTAATCGATATGAAAAATACTTGGTAAGTTATAGGAAATCAATAAATGCTACTTGACTTTGAAAGCTTAGAGTATCCTTAAAGATAATGGGCTGGGGTTGGTTCTCTGCATAAAATAATTCTTTTTTTTTTTAAGGTTTTATTTATTTATTTGACAGAGAGAGACACAGCGAGAGACGAACACAAGCACGGGGAGTGGAAGAGGGAGAACCAGGCTTCCCAAGGAGGAGGGCGTCCAATGCGGGGCTCGATCCCAGGACCCTGGGATCGTGACCTGAGCCAAAGGCTGATGCTAAACAACTGAGCCACCCAGGCGCCCCTGCATAAAAGAATTCTTAAGCATATTAGACTAAACTAAAAAGTAGAAATAAGAAACTTATGTTACTACAATATCACATCATGATAATTATGATTAAATAATTATGTTGGGTGTGGAGCCTACTTAAAAAAAATTTTAAAAATGAGACACAGAGAGATTAAATAATCTGCATACGGTCATATAGTAAGTGGTAGGATTGGGATTACAAATCAGATAATTTGAAATCACAGCTCGTTCTTAAATATTAAACTAAGCAATTATAATTTAAAAGATTACTTATCCTGTCTGAAGCCATCACCTTAAGTCTTTCTTTAAGGAACATCACTGTAGAAAGTGACAGTAACAAAAAAAATAGAGCTTAAGGTATGATCAAGTTTAAAAAGAGAGTAAATAAAATAAAAAAAAACCCCAAAACCAAACCTCAATATTAATGTTAATTAGAGGTTGCTTTAGATTATATCTGAAGTTAATAGCCAACACTGTAATATTAAGGACCATTTACTTTATTATGTAATTTCATATCTTCTGTCTGAAGATCTATTCATTTTAAGAAAAATGGTTGCTTAATGCTGATCAGAGATTAAGAAAGACTAAGAAAGGCATCTAATAAGAACAGATTGTCTAAAATTCCAAGGCCCGGGGTGCCTGGGTGGCTCAGTCATTAAGCGTCTGTCTTCGGCTCAGGTCATGATCCCAGGGTCCTGGGATCAAGACCCACATCGGGCACCCTGCTTGGCGGGAGTCTGCTTCTCCTTCTCCCTCTGCCTGCCGCTCCCCCTGCTTGTGCTCGCTCTCTCTCTCTCTGTCAAATAAATAAATAAATAAAATCTTAAAAAAAAAAAAAAATTCCAAGGCCTTAAAAAAAAAAATCCCAGAGGGTACAGCAATAATATTTTTGAGGGATTGATTGTAACAGATGTGATCAGTTTGAACCATAGTTGAACAATGCCCAGCAAAACAATGACTCTGGTTATCTAGAAAACCTAAATAAAGTTCCAATGACAAAGAGGTAAATAAATGATAAAAACTGATGTATTCTATCAAATTATTTAAAATCTTTTACCATGAGTTAAATCTATAAAGGCTAGTAATATAGCAGCTTGAGGAATATATTACGTAGGGAAAAGATCATGACTATTTATACGTGCTAAATGGTAACCAATCATCCCAGGTTTTTAAGTAACAGTTACCATGATACGATGCTGGGCCATTAGTTATGTATTAACTAACATGATGAAGTAGAATAGTATTTCAATACCGTATCCCATTTCATATATCTCTTTATTGCCCTTTCTTTTCCTTAAGTATAAGCATGAATATGGTAGTAATATAACAAATGTAATTTTTTTGTATATTAGTACAAAAATAAAGTATAACATTTCTACTCTGCATGATTCAGACTGACAAAAACAATACAACCACATAAACACATAGATAAAAATCTAATCACCAAATCTATGACATGGTAGAATCTAATGGTGATATTAGGCAAAGACACATGAATGTGCCATAAACACATCCAACAAAGCATATACAAAATGGAGATAAATTAAGCTACAAAGAATAGGAGCATATATAAGTCTTATAGAAGTACTGGGATGACTGACAAAAGTGGGGAGCTTTTTAATCGAGAAAAGTTAATAAAATGGAAGCTATAATTAAAAAGTTTTAAGAATATCACTGGCTTTCAGTCTCATATGGGGACGGAAATTTCCTTAATTCTTTGCTACTATCTAGCAGCACAATGAAAATACATCTATGCTGGGGCACCTGGGTGGCTCAGTCGTTAAGCGTCTGCCTTCGGCTCAGGTCATGATCCCGGAGTCCCGGGATCGAGCCCCACATCGGGCTCTCTGCTCGGCGGGAAGCCTGCTTCTCCCTCTCCCACTCCCCCTGCTGTGTTCCCTCTCTAGCTGTGTCTCTGTCAAATAAATAAATAAAATCTTAAAAAAAAAAAAAAAAAGAAAATACATCTATGCTATCTCCTCAAAGAAGATAACCAGGTACTACAGAAGATATCACTGAGATCAACTGTAATTACTTTGGATAGTTTAAGTAACAGTAGTTTCTGTAAGTAGAAATTCATTTATATATTTATTCACAATTCCATCTACTTTAAGCCTATTAGAGCTAAGCTGACTGGAAAAAAAGCTTTCATTAATCACCTTTGACATCCACGGAAACCAAAACATATGCAAAGGTAATGGTTTTGTATATACAGCCTCAATTATGTGTTAGTCAACTCAAGCAACCATTATGTACTCAATAATAGGTATGACACAGCTCTGGACATCAGCAACACTAAAGCAGGCAGGCAGAGGCAGCCTGCTTATACTGATGTTTCTAGTGTTAACATTCTTAAGAAGTATGGAAAATAGTAATGATATGTCTTCCTCATTAGAACTTTATAGTAGTGGTCTGTTAGGTTTATCTCCATTTGTTTTATTAACGACTAAACTCTGCAGAATAACACGGTCTTAAGGAAAACAGCAGAGTATCTCAGAGGAAAAGGAAATGTAGGATGCTAGTGTGGGGATAAATTTCTAACTGCCAGTGATTGTTGTGAATATTACAATATATTCCTGACATAAAGCCTCTGTTGAAGGTAGCTACAGTAATAAAGAAAAAAGTCATCTTGAAACTTTAAAATTTAAATTCCTTGGTGTACATGATAATGTAGCAAAGTAAACAGAAAAAACATTTTAAAACATTGTTTAAAAAAACATCAGGGGAAGCAGCTTATCCTTAGGGAGGCACAAGGTGCCTTATTATTAAGCACTTACAGAGACCGATGCATTTTCAGAGCTGGTTACAATCATTACCACAGCACACCCTTGTGAGGTAAGTGTATTATCATCTGTGGTTCATAAATGAAAAAGCTGAGGCACTGAATGATTAAGTCACTCGCCTAAGGAGAATGAGTCAACGTCAAGAGTCATAGTTGACCGACCTAACTTCTGACGATCAGTCCAGGGCTTAGTCAGCGGGGCCCGGAGTGGCTTCCCTGGCTGGCACCTGGACTTAGGCTATTTCCGTTCTGTTAAGCAGAGTAGGGGAACCGAGAGGACAGAACTTTCAAATAATTTTTACTTCTACTCAGATTTAGCCCTGAGGTCTTAATCTCAGGATTTGGGACAGGAAAAGCTGTCGGGTGCACTCCCCCTCCCCCAACCTGTGGCAAGTGGGTACTGCGGGCGGTTCCGCCACCCCCTTTCGCAGTGATGGCAATGAGTGACCACCAGCGTTAGCAGAGCCGGGGGACGGGGGAGGGTTGATTGCTTTAAACAAGGACTCTCCATCGCCGCCTCTTTCTGAAAGCAAGAGAAAATGGTGGGAAGTCAAACAAAATTTAAATAAACAGACAACTTGCCCTAGGACCTCAACTAAGCAAATGAAGCCTCATTGTGCGTGCTGAGCCTGCAGTTCCCAACTTTCCGGGGAAGATGGGAGGACAGGGCAACAAAGGGCGCAGCAGGCATGCCTGGCAGTAAACGCAACAGCAGCTAACCAGGCGGAAGAGCGCGGGACTGAAAACCACCGTCCGGCACGCTAGGGTCCGCCGCCGAGAACTGCGCACCCTACCCACCAACCACGCGACCAGTCTTTTTTTTTTTTTTTTTTTTAACTTCTTTGCCCTTAAAAAAAGAGAGAGGGAGAGAGACACTGAGCGAGAGAGAGACTCCACTTCCCAGAAGCCTCTTGTTACCCACGCAGCCGCAGTCTTGCGCAGGCGCCGCCGGGGCCAAACGGACACGTCCGTCACGTGGACAGTAGCCGGCCAATCCGGTTTGAATCTCTTTTTTTTCCTCTCACCCCCCCTTCAGGAGCGGTTGTGCGATCAGATCGATCTAAGATGGCGACTGTGGAACCGGTGAGTATTGCCTTTGGCCCCCACCCCCATCGGTCCCCGCGCTCCGTCTCCCTTCGGACTGGAGGACCCCGCGGGACGGCGTTCCCGGCGCGCACGCTACCCCTTCCTTGCTGCCCCCTCCCCCTCTTCTTGGGCCTGACCTCTCCGCGGGCAACTGGGGGCGCCCCGGAGGCTGGCCGCGGCGGCGTGTAGCGCACACGTTCTGGTGGGGGCCCGAGAGCTGGGGGAAGGGGGTGGGGGAGGGGCGGCACGGCGCCTCCTGCGTATCCGCGAGGTGGTCTGCTAGGGTGGAGGGTGATCGGGGCCCTGGGCTTGGTGTGTGGGGTTTGTGTCTTCGGGATAGAAGGGCGCAGGACTGGCTCCGAGGGGGCGCCGGGATCCGCAGGGAGGGTGGGCGGCGAGCCGGCCTGGAACGAGTTGGAGGAGGGAGCCCCGGGGTAGCTTTTCCGTCCCTGCTTCCCTCCCGAGCTCCAGCCTAGGGGTTCGTGTGCGAGGCGCGCGCGGGTCTTCTTTAGACCGGTGGGCCAGGGAGCCGGTGGGCGCGCGTTGCCGGAGGGTGGGTTGGGCGAGAGTGGTGCCGCGGTACGCGAGAAGCTTCGACCTCGCCGAGGGGAGCCGAGAGGGGCAAGCGCATGTTTCTCCAGCGCGCCCGAGAGTTGCCGGGGTTGGCGGCAGGGGAGGCGAGAAAGGTTTGGGGTGGGGAGGAGAACCTCGTGTTGCGCGGTAGAGCTCTCAGAGTAGGATGAAGGGTGGTGGTGGTGAGAAAGGGGGATCACATTGTCCTCTCCCCTCCATGCTTGATATTGGGCTGTCATGGAGGAGGGAAGGGGGAGGAGCGAGGCCTACTGATCGCTGCTGCTGGTCTGGTTGCCGGCCGGACCTGCTGCATTTCACACGCGCCTGTCTTCCATTCATTCATCCTTTTCCGCGCAGTGCGCACGTCTCAAGAGAATGCGGATGGGTCTTGATCCATCTGCTCTTCGGCGCGTTTATCGTCTGAAAGATTTCTAAGACACAGTTTACTGGAAATAGGAACTTAACTTTTAAAATTAGTTTTCTATTTATTTTTCCTTTACGCGTTCTGCCTCTTTCTTTTCAGTTTAGGCACCATCTTAAACTTAGTTGAAGCAAGCCGATCCCAGAACAGTAATTTGGTAGTTACCGCCCAAAGGAGAGGATATCTTTGTCATAGTTTGGTTTTGCCGGCACTGGCTCACTGAAACTTACAGGCCTGTGTTGCTGTTTTAGGAATGTCTCATCTAAGTGAAATTGTTTTAGAGGCATAATGGAGTATTTTAACAACTGAAGACCTTGGAACCAATTCTAGACCTTGGTTGCGAGATATTTTTGTGTATCTTTAATGATAGTTTGTGATTTTGATTATGACTTAACCGATTTGTTTTAACTTTTTAGAGACCTTTATAGCTAGCTCAAAAATTAGTTATGGACGGTTTATAGACTACAAAAAGACTTATTTTTCATTACATTGGTGTGAACTATCCTACCTTGTTGCCGGAATTTAAGGCAGCTCTTCTCTTTGGTTACTTGTTTTTTATTGGTGTCAGTTTTCATTTATGTTCAGCAAAACTGTCTCTTAATTTGCTGATACAGTTAACTGACTTTAGAACATTAATGTTACATAAATAAAAGGGTAAAGGATGAATATGAAAATACTCCCTTTTAACAAGTTCCCATGTCAACTTTTTACTGGATCTGCTCTCCTCCCTACTGTACCAGTATCATTAAAAAGCATTACAGCGGGTAATAGGGGCAAGGCTAAAACCTCTAAGCTGCGAAATAATGATGTATTCTGTGAAGTTTCAGTAACATTTAGGTCCTTTGGATTTTGTAAAGCTATGCAATTTTCTTTCAACCGCACAGAACAGAACTACAAAGTGTTGGACTATTTTGAGTCAGTAAATATTTATAGCCTCTGTTATGTTTAGGAGGTTATATCAAATGTTCTTTAGGATACAAAGTTATACAAAATGTGATTCTGTACCTTGTTCAACATAAACTCTTAAGGAGCTTAATTCCCAGTGATGTGGTGGGTGATACAGTATAGTATTCATTCTAGTGCTGACCCAGGGAAAGTTGGATACAGCATTTAAATTTGGGTAGTAGGGAACCTAAAAGTGTGTGAAAGTGGAAGGCCAGTAGTAGTTTTGAGGATGTATGTAAAATACATTGACGTGTTCATTTCTAGTGAGAATGGCAAATTTTTTGCACTTTCAATGCACCCTTTTCACAGGTTAGTCTTTTAGAATTCTTTGACTATTTTAAATACTGGGAGGTGGTTTTTTTTTTTTTTTAATTTTTTAAACAGCAGCTGATTAGTATTGATTGTAGTTGAGATATTCCTACTGAAGCCTACAGAAACCATTGTATCTGTTCATTGCTATTTCAGCTAGCTTGTGAGTTTCCTTATTGCTCTTCTGTAGGGCATAATCATAAGCACTTAAAGAATCATGGCTTTTCCTGATTGTCCCACCTTTCATAGGTATTTGGGGAATTTTTATCTATGGAAATTACATAAAATATCAGTCATTTTCAGTTTGATATTTGATTTTTTTCAAGTGTGTGTAAGAGATCAGTTACATTAAGATGTGGCTTACAAATACTAAATTTGTTGAGAAGCTTGATAGGGAAAATTAAAGGAAGCATTTTACCTCTTTATAGGTAATATGGCAAATTTTGACCATTGGGATAAACAGTGCTTTTCTGTTATTCTCTTGGCATTTGAACTGTGGCTAGGTCAAAATTATCCTTTGTGGCTAGATCAAAATTAGACTTAATATTAGTAGTGAAGATGGGGAGGCAGTTTCCCCAGGCCACCTTGCTTCCAGTGGCAAAACATTTCTTTGTAACTTTATCTTCATTCTGCATTCTTCATTATTGGGCTGTTTTTGACTTGTAGTTCTTTTTAAGGTAAGAGGTTTTTTGTTTGTTTAAACTGAAGGTATACAGTTTTATTTGTTTTTACATTGTATTTCTTGGGTTTTTTTTTTTTTAAAGATTTTATTTATTTATTTGACAGAGAGAGACACAGCGAGAGAGGGGACACAAGTAGGGGGAGTGGGAGAGGGAGAAGCAGGCTCCCCGCAGAGCAGGGAGCCTGATGCGGGACTCGATCCCAGGACCCTGGGATCATGACCTGAGCCGAAGGCAGTCGCTTAACCAACTGAGCCACCCAGGTGCCCTGTATTTCTTGGATTTTTAAAGCTACATTAATTGCTTACTGGAATCAACTTGGACAGTCGGTGTTTCCATTTTTACCCTTTAGAAACATGTTTTGTACTGCAAAGAGCTTATTAAAAGTGAATAAGGCTTACGTATATATGGACAAATATGTTGTATATAATTCAGGTTTTTGTTTAATCAAAGACTGTTGATTGACAAGCACACCTTGCAAATTAATATTATGTTTTTGCCTTAATGAAAGAACCCAGTACATGTATCAGAGTTCATTGATAAACCAAATAAATTTGGTTCTGGTGTTTATATTTTCAAGTTTCATTTCATTTCATACTCTGAATTAATACTGTGCATAATCATTTAACTCAGAAATCCAATTTATTTATTTATTTTAAGATTTTATTTATTTATTAGACAGAGACATAGCAAGAGAGGGAACACAAGCAGGGGAAGTGAGAGAGGGAGAAGCAGGCTTCCCGCCGAGCAGGGAGCCCGATGCGGGGCTCGATCCCAGGACCCTGGGATCATGACCTGAGCCGAAGGCAGACGCTTAACGACTGAGCCACCCAGGCGCCCCTCAGAAATCCAATTTAGAAAGCAGTCCTAGTTTATACACTGAAGTTGCAGAGAATATAGTAGTAAATGAATTAGGTAAGCTTAATCCAATTTGGACAGCAAATTCTAGGCAATACTTAAAATACGTTGTTTAATTTATATCAGGTTAAAAATGTAGAGTACCTGGTTGTAACAAGGAACTTGTGAAATGGTTATTTTAGCAATGGTAATTACTTTTCCTTCTCTGCTACTGCTGGAAATTTTCTTGCTCTTCTGGTACCTATGAGTTTTTTCATCTATGTTATAGAGACTTATTAGAGAAGTGGGAAAGAGCATGGGGTATAGTCTAATTTTAATATCTGTGTCACCCTGGCTGAAATTTCTAAGTCTAGCTGAGAAAATGGGAATAAGATATCTTACAGTGATTTTGATTTTCAAATTCAGTATTCAGAGATGACAGTTTGTCCGTTATGAAAAACTAGGTATACCAAGTTAATAGTCCATGAGTGTGTTGCATGCAGGTGTATTCATGCATACTCATGTATACTCATCTTTTTCTCTCTTTGATAAGAAATTCACATAGCTGCTTTTTGATTATCAATCCTTAGTCGTTGGCAAGAAATGCAAAGCTTATGCTCTACAATCCTCAGATACTCTTCCCACTCCTATCCCTATCATAAAAATCACTAGTGTTCCTTCAAAAGTTCCTGTTTGTGTCTGGAGAAAAAAGAAAGGATCACTTTTGACTTTCAGATATGTGGTCAGAAAGTAAGTGTTTTTTTCCCTCCAGTTGGAACTTTTGATACATTATTCCACAGAAACAATGGGAAGCTGTAATATTGTCACATTGTTCAGTAAGTTTCAGTGGCATTAGGACAAATCTAACCAGCATTGAATTTCCAGGGATATGGATTTAGAGTTCTAAGCAGCTGCCCTAAAAATGACCTTTAAGGGGCGCCTGGGTGGCTCAGGTGGTTAAGCGTCTGCTTCGGCTCAGGTCATGGTCCTGGGGTCCTGGGATCGAGCCCTGCCTGGGGCCCCCTGCCTGCTCCTCCTCCTCCCTTTGCCATCCTCCCCCCCCCCCCCCCCGCTGTGCTCTCTGGCTCTGTTTCTCTGTCAAATAAATAAATCTTTAAAACAAATGACCTTTAATCACAACCTATTTGTAACAGTGATTTTTAATGTAGGCAGATCTTTCTTACTAATTAACATATAGCATGTATGTATGTCAGGCACTACATTAAGTACTT